CAATAACCTCATCGACAGCATGCCACATTCCTTTCCTAGGTTATTAGAGTACGAGGAAGACCAATCAAGTACTGAAAGTCTAATATGAACTGATATAATGTAGCAGACGCTATTTATAATAATTTGATGTTATATTTTGTCATTATATGTATTTTGGTAAGGTTTTGTTGTGGTAGGTGAAATGCTAAATGACACATCTTTCTACAAGTGTATGATAAAATTGTTTGCTGTTCTAATAAATAGTTTATGATGTACATATAATATGTCTTATTATACAAATTACATATATAGATGTTTAATACAACATACATTTCTCAGTTTTACAGCGTTAAGTGTATTTGTATTTCATCTTCAGTATGATGGTGGTATTTTATACAAAATTGCAAACATTTTGGCCAAGACCGTACAATAAATGGTGCGTATTAACGATACATTTAATTGTTGCTGATAGCAAACTTAATTGTCTTGTATTCTCTATAAACTATAGACTGTAAAAGCATTGGAGGTAAACAATTGTTATTATTATTTAAAATAAGCTGTACTTTGTTTATTTTTTCCAAGACGTTCCAATCATTGCTTTCGGCGACAAACAGCAATTGGATGTTGTTGTCTGGAACAAGGAAAAGGATATTTTCGATTTACCATTAAATGAATTGAACCCAGAGTTTATGAAAGACATATGGGAGAGGTTGTGTACAGGTAACTAATAACATTATTACTTCTACAATTATACTCTGTTCTAAGCATGTCACTAACATCAATAAAAAACTTTTAATTGTGGCTTATGTGTACATAATACTGACTTTAAAGGAAAGCTTTCGTTCCGGTTAAAGCTACATAGATATTAGAGCATTATTATATGCTATAATACAGTTTTTAATTTTTTAGAAAAATTTTTGCTTTTACGTTAAGTTTTATTTTGGTTCTACCTTTCAAACCTCACTGAAAAGTTAATCACTTTTCATTTTACGGCTAAGATAATATATTATTTTTCGTGATTATATTTTAATGTAATATGTAGCTCTAGGGTATCTAAGAATAACTTCTTTGTGGATAAGCCATAAAATGGCAGCATAACACACGAGTTAAGCCTCATTACACTCTGACATAATGACACACCCATTTGGAAATACTTTGATTTTCTTCTTTAAATTTGTTGTAGATCTAAAGTTCATTACATTAAAACTACCAGAATTTGATAAAGATGTCCCGCGAAAATAAATCATACCCCTAAATAATAACTGTCTGGACAACTGATGGTATTGACAGTCCTTTTGTACTATTTGCTCAGTGCCAGCTACTCTTCAGTACGACAAATGTTGGGAGTTGACGAATAGTCGGGAGAGCTCGAACAAGTATATTGGATATGTGACCCCTAACCATATTCAATACTGGGCTATGTACCCTGAATACTTCCTGAAGAGCAGAAACATTCAATTCACGGTAAATATTATTGTTTCAATAATCCTTAAAAGTCCTTAAAATTGTTACTAAGTCTAGACTAGATGTAGAATTCCTGTGATCCAGGCACCATATTGTGTTATAACGCCAAATATTTCCACAAGTTCGCTTGTTCAAATAGTTACCTATAAAGACAAAACTCTTCCGTTAAAATATTTAAGTTGCGATAGGTGGCTCTATCCAACAGGCAGTTTTTGGCGCACTGTGTCTTTCATCTACGCTGTTGTTATGAGTAAGACTTAAACTAATAGCAAACAGTCATCTTTAAAAACGTGTTTTTCTTACGCCATATTTAAAGGTTAGCAAATTCAAGCGTTAAAACAAAGGCACAATATTTTTGTAACTTTATCTTTCTACAAACCCTTATGTTTTTATTTGAGAAGTATTTCAGTTGTTTTAAATCAAGGAATAAGAACGAAGATTTTTTATTTGTTCTTTATGGTTGAATCAATATTATTTAAACCAATTATATGACAAAGAAATTTTGTATTTTTTACTTTATAATGAGTTCTTTGTTGTTGTTTTATCTCAGGTTTGCAATATTAACTGATGCAATAGCATTAAGAATATGACCTATTAAAGCGTTATTTGTTTGTTGTTAAGCGTAAAGCCAAGCAATATTCTATCTGCGCTGTGCCCATCGCGGATATCGAACCCCGATTTTTAGCTTTGTAAGCCCGCAAGCTTACAATTGAGTCACCATGGTTGGGGTGAGGGTGGTATGCCAGTAAAGCGGTCTCTCAGTGGCACAGCGGCATGTCTGCGGACTTACAACACTAGAAACCGGGTTTCGATACCCGAGGTGGTGGTGGGCAGAGTACAGATAGCCCATTGTGTAGATTTGTGCTTAACAACAACCAAACAATAAAGTAAAATCCTGAACAAATAAACGGCATTAAACAGCAAAAACAGCGAACTATAAATCACAATGTACTAAATAGAAATAACCCAATATTTAAGAAGCAGAAATATAACTTTTCTTTAAAGTGGATATAATTGTATTCATATCTATAATTAAAGTGGATATAATTGTATTCATATCTATAATTAAAGTGGATATAATTGTATTCATATCTATAATTAAAGCGGATATAATTGTATTCATATCTATAACTAAAGTGGATATAATTGTATTCATATAATAATAATCTATAATTAAAGTGGATATAATTGTATTCATATCTATAATTAAAGTGGATATAATTGTATTCATATCTATAATTAAAGTGGATATAATTGTATTCATATCTATAAAATACAACGTTTCAGTTCAAATCAACCAGGACTGTAACAGATCGCGTGAAAGTTTGCTTTAGCCGTGGTACCAGAACCCCCGAAATGGAGGAGCAGAATTGCAAGGAAACTTCGAAAAATGGTCAGTTTACTATTATACATGGACTTTTGTAACTTGCGTTTACGGTGCTTTCAGTATCTGACACATCAGAATGTTTTCATCGGATTTTATCCTTTAATAGTTAAAGATTAGACATAAAATAGAACTACAGGTCGAGTATCTTTTATGAATAAGTAGTTTTGTGTGTGAGTGCGCACTTAAAATGGCTGGCTGCGTAACACAAGATATGTGATATGATGTTTGTCTTGATTTGAAGTTTATTTTCACGTATTTTTATTTAGTTACATTTTAAATAGCGTAATGGCTGATTATATTTTATAATGTCAAACTTACAACAAACTCTAGCTTCAATTTGCAGTAATTGCACAAAATTATGCATTCAAGTTTATCAATCTATTTTATTTCAATTTTTAGACAAGGAAATTTCCTTCTGGATGAGTAATCCCTGCAAAGGTAGAATGATTTTTTTATTAATATTTTTAAAACATCAGTAGCATGAACAACAATTAAACGATGTTGATAATAAAAAATTAACATAACAAATATATACAGTATTTTGATATATCATATTCTAGTTAGTCTTCTACAACTATCTTGTATGATGACACCTATGTTTTATATAAAGTAAATTCGCGTGATTCTTAGACCGGTTTCATGTGAAGTCTTATTCCATATTTAAGCTTATTTTTATGGAATGTTCTTTAAACTTGAACCATTTGTATATAGTACAATTAAGCGCCATAGTAGATAATAAAGTTGTTGTTTTTTTCATTTTACAAGTTCATCAAATGGCACGTTTTTTATACAATGGAGATGATGCCCAGAATCGAAGACACTCAAATGACAGAAGTTAAAGAGAATAAAAGATATATGTTAATTTAGAAGGCTGCAATATTTACCCAAGAAACTTCAGTTTGAATAATGACTTTTTTATTCACATTTTACTGGCTCCGCGACCTTTATTTTAGTTTTCATACAAATATTGTTCAGGTTTATGAACACATATTGTACGCTCTCATCTATAATGATATAGTATAATTAGTACTTTTAATATTTAATTTTTAAGAGTTACTAACAACGTGACCAACTGATTAGAACCACAAATGAACCATCATTTAAAATGACATATTCGTTTTTAATATACCGACCATCAGATATCTGCTATTAATATAAAGTTATATTGCTTAATATCAGGCTCAGTAGGTTTGTTAATCCAATTTCGTCCTTCGTCAATAGGATACAGCGTTTGGAACTGCCCGCCATTTTATTTCTCCATTCAAGGTTTACGTGATGAAGAACAAACCACGCAGTTTGGTATCAACTGTGCTGGTGAGTAAACTAAGTTTAAATTACACACAGATAACGAATCTGGACATTGAAATACAGATGCAAAAACTGGATTTTGTTAACATTAGACGATCATAAGTCTTTACTTTTGTCTGGTTTTTTTTCTACATTTCATTAGTTTTACTAGCGATATATTTCTTAGAATTGGGAAGTTTTTTCCTCAATTAAATGCATATAGTAGTATGTTTCTGTTCGTCCAAACCAACAATTCGTTAAGCGATCAACAGGATCCTTAGTAATCGCCTTTTGAACTATTATAGAAGTAAAAACAAAAACAATAGAAAATTACGTTTTCGATAATCAGTTAACTGGTCAACCTAATATTCAGTCAAAAGATATCGCTTATTTATTATAATCAAGCGTAATAGACGTTAGGTACATTATAATAAACAAATATATTTAATAAAAATATATTGAAGATGGTGGATCATTTTGTTCACCGAAACATGTAGAGTGTGTTTTTTCTATACAAATATAGTTATTGTGCACATAAAAACATTGATGTCGTGATTTTTATTGAAAGTGTGCACATATGCTGTCAGTCTAATATATTTACAAAATATATTCACTATTTCTAAGATACCTTTATTTCCTCATTTACTTTTATAGTATAGTATGTAAAACATTGATCATTATTCAGTACATCAGACGGTCATAGCACTTTGAAAAGGTAGACCTTAAAGAAAAGCTAATCTCTGAAAATGTCACAATTATCAGTGTTGTTGATTTGTCTTCTTCTAAGCGCCCCCAGTGGCACAGTGGTATGTCTGCGGACTTGCAACGCTTGAATCCGGGTTTCGATACCCGTAGTGGGTAAAGCACAGATAGCCCATTGTGTAGCTTTGTGCTTAATTACAAACAAACAAACAACATCTTCTAAGCGTTATGATAAGATAAATCACGATATAACTAATTACCTAACTCAAAGATAACTTAAGCCTAATTCAAACAAACATTTCTCTAGGGGATGTCAAGCGTCATTATAAACTTTAACAAGGACTAGACTGAAAAACAGAAAACTATATATTCTTGAAAACCGTTACCCCCGTAGTTTTCTTCCCGCAACTCTTTCTCTTATATTGACCAAAGTTTTTGCAAATAACACGTCTGCAAGTACTGTTTAAACAGTATAGCAGAAAGTAAAGCTTTTCATGAATATAGCAAAAGAATCTACAACTTGTTAATGATTATTTTTTAACCTCACTGTTGTGCGTTGATTCTTTTATATTTTCTACATGAAAGCTATTTTCTTAGATATTCAATTTTGGTTTGCATGAACTGTTGCTGACATTTTGATTTGCTTGATCAGTGATCCGACATGAAACTTGAATGTCAAATGGACAAAAACTTGTCTGTAGGAGATAAAGATGAGATTTTCTTACCGTTAAACTACCTTTCTGCATTTATTATTTAAAACGTTTTATTTTATAAGGATTATACCAAACTAAAAGTTGCATTAATTTGAAATAAATCAAACTTTGTTTTCAGTTTTATAATTCAGAACTTTCTGAACATTTCAGGTATCAAATGCTTTGTTCCAAGAACTCCAGACCAGATAGAATTCACTGTGGAACACGATGGTTAGTTCTTTTGTTTTTACAGTGATTTACACAAATTATCAACTGCACTCAGTTTTTAACGTTGTAATTTTAATTTGTAAGGAAAACTTGTAAAACTGAAAAACAATCTGGTGTGATTTTGCTTGGGAAAAGTGTGACTACAGTTGTTTAGTTTCTAGTTTGGTCTAACACTTGAGATTTCTACGTCTTTCTTTACCCTAAATTATGATATGAAACCTGTTAGCTCACACTCTATAAAAAATGAACTAAAATCATAAGGAAATATAAACTGCAAATTCAAACTAAGTAGCTCAAAATTATTTTTTATGATGTTTCGTACCAACTACTTAGCTAAGCCAAAGAGCAATTGCACAACTTAAAACTGTAGCTCTCTACTTGATATAGTATTTATTATTATTATTTGCTGTACATTATGGTGCTTTTTATTATGTTTTTGTGCATATTTAACAAAGTAAGATATTATTTCCATAAATAACTTTTGTCACTTTCCTTACTAAATTTGTTCGTCATTTCTGGGTTTAAATAGTACTAGACATTTGATGAAATATTATTACAAATTATTCAGTTTTCCAAATACCTTAAACATTGTGTTGTTCCTTTTCAAGTAGCAGGTAAAAAATATACCTTGCTGATAACTTGTTAAACGTTCATAACCAAACTAACTTTAATACCGTTTTTCTTATATCTATAACATACAAAATATTTTAATGAAAGTGATGTAACTGTCATAATCAGAAACCACAACGTTTCTTCATGTATTATTTCTATGTGACTAATTTCCTATACTGTGATTCTCAACAAGCACACTAAAAGTGAGAATATGGCTTCATCCCCTTGCTTCAAGTACAGAGATGTCGTACACCTACTGGTTCTCAACCACTAAGAAAACGTTGACAAGATTTTCTTTATCAAACAAACTTGATATTTAAATATTCGATCATTTTTCGATCACTCCTTATTTTTGCGATAACAAATAACATGGATTGAGTTGTGTGTCAACCCTCTTGAACTAGGAGCAAATTCTACCATGACCTAATCTTGTATAAATCAATCAAATGTTTTATGAACAGTCCCAAAGTTTCCTAATGTTACATATTAACAATCGACTGAATGAATTGATAATCCTAGATATTAATGAATATTACAACACCAGGTTGAAATATCTTTGCAGTTTTGGTTCGTTGAAGTTACACAATGATTGCTAGTTTGTAATATATGGTATCAATATTTAAGCAGTACTCATTCAAATAAAAGTTCACAAATATCACCCATATATTGATACAGGTCTTGTAGAACGGAACGCTTACAATTGGTTTAACTACGTTTTCTGTATAATAAATGTTCTTAAATTAAATTTATTAATTTACGTTTATTTTCACATATAAGGTGTTGCAAGTATATTATCTTCAAGATGCAACAGGTATTTGCTCTATAGTCTTGTTAAGTAGCTGATCTATTTTCTTAACTCATCCTCTTAATTCTTTCGTTTCAGGTGTTAGATGCAACGGTGCTTCCAAGCTGATATCTTCACTCACAGTAATAATCACATTACTTGCTTTTGCTCTCTCGAGAAGTAATTGAACGACCCTCAGCTCATAGTTCCAATTCACAACACTTTTCATAATTGACTACAATGTCATTTGTCTGTGTGGTTGTTAATTACACGAAGCTATGGTATATTTGTGAAACTACATATCATGATTTTTCTTTTTTTAAACATTAATTATCCTCCTCTTCTGATGTTCTGTACAATTTTTTCTTTTTGTACATTTTTTATCCTCTTCGCATGTGACTGAGATCAATTTTATAGTTAAGTGACTTAACAACAAAAACTCTGTTTTTATATGGAAATGTCTCGTTACATTATCGTAAAGCAAAATGTAAAAACAAAGGAAATAAAAAACTAAAATAAACTGTGCCGTATCTCTAACTTAAGCCTTGACACAAAACATCACAATAGACAAAAAATATTTTATTAAAATTCTTTTAGTTAATCCCTTTGAGATTTGAATCTCAAGAAGCAATGTAGAAAGCTAATTTTACAAGTCTCTAAGTTGAAATCCGCAATAGACTGAGTAAGTGAATTATGAAAAACAGCTGTGACGTAATGTCAAGTTTTTAGACATATAAATATCAAATAATAAATTTATTTCTTACTTTCTATTTACTATGTCCTATTACTTTTTCCTTTATAACCAGTAAAAATATGTCTTCTATAATTAACTTGAGAAACTTTGTTACCAATTACAAAGAAATACTATTACATTTAATATTACTCATTCGTATATCGAAATATTCCATATGAACTTTCATCTATTTTCGCCAAGTAGTAGAAATTAAATTGAGAACTGAATAAAAAAAACGCATTCAGTTTAATCATGATGTCTTCCTAACATTATAAACTTAGCAGATATCACATCAATGAGATTATGATAATGCTTTACAGTTGAGATATCTGTCCAATGGCAACTAGTATTATACCACCTAGATTAAGATAATGTTTTACAGCTGAGATATCTGTCCAATGGCAACTAGTATTATACCACCTAGATTAACTGTAAAACATTATCAAATTACTTCTAAACCAGAATTTCGTAAAATATTATTATAACTTGTCACATACGCACGCATAAAAAATGTACACTGAAGAAACATTGTTACTTTATTATTTTACATAAGTAGCAGTCATATGGCTGATATTTGAACTGTAAAACATTATCTTAGTCAAGGTGGTATAATACTAGTTGCCATTGGACAGATATCTCAACTGTAAAGCATTATCATAATCTAGGTGGTTCAATACTAGTTGCCATTGGACAGATATCTCAAATACATATTAGTTCTACTTGTTCAATAAACGTTGACCTGAGATATAAGCAACATAAGTTTTTTAAGACAGAGAGGTAAGTACGTCTAGTTTTTCTGTGGTGTGGTTAGTAACATAACTCTCAAACACACGTCATAACAGCTGAAATTTTTCTCAATCCTTTCTTTCTTTTTGTTAAAGCAAGAAAACGCAGAGTGTAAATATAAGTAGTTTTATATATTTACATCTAATAAGAATAATTGAAAATAACTAAAGTTTCAAATCATTTCTATTCTGCATATCTAATATTTATTTAACAATAAGTAAAAAGTAGGGTTAGCTCACATTAATCTTTTTTTGGAAATACTTAATGTGATGTTTATTTTCCTGATTTATTTATATAAAAAGCAAAGACTAAAACTGTCACCTTTTTAATGATTTAATTTCTAAGAGCTGAAAGATGCTAAAATTAATTTTCTTTTCCAAAATAAAAACTGTTTAAAAACACTGCCCATGGAATGCCTATGAGGCTACTGGTGTGACAGTGCAACCAACATGAAATGCAGTAAGAACGGTTTTCATAAATAAAAACTAAAGACTTAACTCCGAAAGCTTTCCTTGTTCTTTGTTAAATACAATGCACTCATTCTGAATCTCCTGTTGAATTATACAGCGAACTGTTGCACCGAAGCAGTGATGTTCTTCGAGATGGTTCAAACAATATAAGCCTACTTTTCTGTTTCAACTTACCGTTGGAAAGAATTGCTAAAACGTGTTTCCCAGTTCACTGTTAGGCCATTGTGTGATATGTGACGTAGAAGAAATATAAATTGTTCAAACTGTTTCACAAGAAGAGTACATTCGTTCATGAAAAAAAAAGAAAAAAGAATGCGATCTTCGTATGAACTCATCATAGGTATTACTTTATTTGAGTTTTGAAAAGCTTCTTTTTCATTACAACGATTATGGACAAAGTCAGACAATGCGACAAACTTAAGGTGCTGCTGGGAAACGTCGATGCTGATCTCTTCGCGTATCATACTTTTCTTAACCACTTTCTAAAATATGATGTGCAGCTATTCACATATTTCTGACTCCAGTTTTTACGCCATCTGTTAAACCGGTCTGGAGATTCACGCAATGTTTTAAAGTCCCTTAAATTCATTTTCGACAGCTCACCAGTAGTTTACCTGCAGTTTTTGAAAAGGCCTAGTGTTGCCTGGTGGTTAGGGGTGCTCGACTCGCAATCTGCGAATACCCGTCACCGAACATGCTTACCCTTTCAGCCGTAATGTGAGGGTCAATATTACTATTCGATGGTAAATTAGTAGCCCAAGAGTTGGCGGTGGGTGGTGTTGATTAGCTGCCTCCCCTCTAGTCTTTCGCTGCTAAATTAGGGACGGCTACACGTAGAGGAGATAGGCGGCACCAGGTAAATCTGCCCGAGAATCACCGATGGTACATCAGCATCTAAGGTGCTCTGACGGTTATATATCGGGACTCAAAAAATAAAAAGGTGTTGAATCCTTTGTTCCACAGATTCAATGGCTGTGTTGATCATTATGTGAAAGAAATTGATCTCGAAAGTTTGTTGTGGATCAACCGGAAAGAAAACAAAACTGATGGGACTGGTAAACATTTCGATCAAACACAAAATTTCACCAAAATTTTACATGCAAGCGTTGTGAGATTTCACCTTCATTAAATAATTCAATTTCCTTTATTTTGAAATGGCACGATATCCATGTGTTTACTGTTCCAGTAACATTTCCTCGGGCTTTAATAATATACTTACATGTAAAGAAATAAATTTAACTGGATTTGCATCCTACGGTTTTGTTATAAAATTGAAGTAAAATGAAAAAAGGTAGATCGAAACGATAGCTAGTGTAGCAACCAGTTTGCAATGAGCTATATAAATATTTTCATAAAACAACAGTAAAATATATTTGAAACTGAAAGAGTTTATTGTATTTTCTTAACCATTTAATATCCCCTATTTTTGTGATGATGTAAAAACAAAAATTATTCTTATATAGTTATAGCGCAACTGCTTATGGTATTTAACGTTTTCTACATAGTCTACATAGCCCCCAGACTCCCGTAGCATGAACATGATTTGCATGCTGATTGTGCTTCGCACAACACGTGTTGGCTTTTGATTTCACAAATTAGAATCCCCCTCTCAAATTTTCTGCGTACAGACCTGATTAGTATGGGTGTTTGAAGAATAAGTAAAATTATTGTTATGAATTCAATCATTCTTCCATATTCTTCAGCGGACATTGTAATTATAATGAGAAACAAATAGAACAGTAACAGATCCATTATATTCAGCAATCTGTTTTTCATTGCTGGTCGAAAAATGAGCGTGGCAGGTGTTGTATAGTAATAAGCATCATCAGCTTTCTTGGAAGAATTGTAGCGCTACTTTTAAAACCCAGGTTTTTGTACTTGTGAAATACTTGATATATGTATAACTTCAGCTAACCTAAGTTTATAATGTACTGATTTTAATTTAGGACAAAATATTGATAGCGATCACTTCCCAATGTGGAGTATCTTCGATCTCATCCCCCACCAAAATAAACCAATATATCATCAAATTCCGACTATAATAAAGCCGATTGGCTAAAATATTTAGCAAAATTAGATGAACTCTTACCAAATTCAATACGGACAAGTGCCACGAGACCGTCGGAATTAGACGATTACTGCCAAATAATAGCAGAGTGTGTTACAAAGACGCAAAAATAGCCATATCAAAACGCGAAAACCCCTACTAGAAATAACACACGGAAACCACATAAGGGTATAATAGATTTGATCAAAGAGGGATGCACGTTACGCAGCTTACAAGAGATATGATTTTAAAACCACAAATTAACAAACTGAGAAACAAAGTAAGATACCAGCTCAAACAAGTAAAACAAGAAAACTGGGACTTCTCTAACAAACTAAACGACCCAAAAAAACTGAAAAATATACAAAACCATAAATCAACAAAAACATATCCAACACTAGAGTATACCAACAAAAGCGCATATACAAACACACAAAAAGCGAAAGTATTCAAGGAACACCTTCATAACATCTTTAAAACACAAAACGACCTCGATATAGATGACGACCACCAAAATCAAGTAAGTGCAACAACTGAACAAGATAAAGACATTTTCACACCGGTGTTTCCGGTAACCATTCCAACACAAACAACAGAGACTATAACTACTAACATACTAGACGCACACATGACAAGCGAAATAAAAGCAACCCAGATCTCTATAGTAATAAAACAAACTAAAAATAAGGCGCCTGGGGAAGAAAGCATACAAGCCATATTACTAAAACTGCACTTACCGATTACTGGACCATCTAAAGGCAGTCTTTAACCCCTCCCTCACATCGGAATATATCCCCGTAATAGATAGTTTTAATTAAAAAAAAAGATTGTACAGTCGTCTGCCTACTCGATCTAGGGAAGGTTTTCGATACAATCTGGCACTCAGGTCTACCGCGAGGAATTATTCGCTGGTTATCAAACTTCCTAGAAAATGGAAAACGTCGGGTAAATGTTGAGGGTACTTATTCAGAGTATTTTACTCTTGAGGCAGGTGTACCTCAAGGACCCCTTAGTTAGCCCCATACTCTTCATCATGCATGTAACCGATACAAATTTCTGTTATACCTCTCAATTCGTAGATGATGTAGCAATTTGGAAAGTTCCCATAAACCCTCCATAGCAGCTGTAAACTTACAACCCGCTCTAAACGAAATAGCAGAATACTGCCAAAAGAAAAAAAAACAATTAATATACCAAAAACACAAATAATCTTTTTAGCAAAATTAAAGAAACTTCTCAAAAACATCCCAGAAATCTATCTCTATGGAACCCTCCTCCAGACTGCTACATTAGCAAATTTTCTAGGTCTCACCTACGACTCAAAATTAATATGGCAAAAACACATTAATGAAATTATAACCATATTCTGGAGACAAGTTAACCAGATTAGAAGTATGTCTGGCAACAATACAGGCA